TCCAAGTGTAGTGACGACGTGAGGCGAAGCTCAAATGAACAATATTTCATATTTTCATGTTATATTATTATATTATATTTCATTCATACCAAATTATCAATATACGCAAGATATWAAATATCTTATTATAAATTGTACCGTCGTAATACCTAGAATAGTATATAATTACGATTTATAATACATCTATCGCAGACCGCGGCATGCGATATAGGTGAAGGAACGGTAGTGGCGGAGGAATTCTTCGGCACGCAACACGCGCGGTTCAAGTCACTGCCGTACTGTAACATGAACGATCCAGGACGTGTGTTTTTTTTTTTTACTAAAACTATGTATTTTTATTCCATCATATTGATCGATGTAGTAATGCGATAATACTTTTTATAACTGATTTGAATTCGTTATGATGTTTACTTGAGATCGGTCAGTTCACATTTTATGATTTCTGATTTATATTCCGAATAATCAACGTTTGAAAATGCCGAAATTTTAAAATATTCAAACCAAATTTTTAGTTGTTAGGGGGGTGAAATTGGGGAAAATAAACKGACCGATCTCTAAAAGACATAATAACAAATTCATATCAGTTTAAAACAGTATTATCGCATTACTACTTCGATCAGTATGATGGAATAAAAATTGGATGTTTTGGCTAAAATAACTGTCCGCCACACCGATCCCCTTAATTAAATATATTTTTATATAAATACACATCTTCTAAGTTGCTAAATATTTTGGTATCTTATGAAGTATGAAAAGACTTTCTATTTCATGAATAGATTTCACAAAGTGGCCATGGCACATACAATAAAACAAACAAAAAATATGTAGTTTATTATGTAAAGTTGTGTAAGCTAAAAAAAAAAGAGTTCACACATTTGTACTACATATTTTTTAGCCAACCAAGTTTATGTTTTATATTTAAAACCAAAGTAATCACTTAGTGTGATAATATTTCAGTAAACAGTCTTATTTATATTTGAGAATGAATTATTTTTTTATTATGGGTTGTTATACTTAARGTCATTTATGTTAGTAGATAACTATGGTTATAACTGTCTTAAAATACAATAATACATGTTACCAAGAAAAGATGTTTTTCTATTTTATTAAGTTATTRGGTTCATTCTAAGTTTTATCATTCTTTGTTTTTTTGATTGTTAATATATAATTTGTTTTCATTAAGTTGTTTTATACTAATAATTATTATAAATGGGTAAATATCTAGTCAACTGAAATGTGAAGAATTGATCTRTTTTATATTTATATTTTTATTATTAACCAAATTAAAATACAAATTTTGTAATTTACTTAAAATTGAGTTTATTATAACTGAAAACTGATATAAATATATAATTAACATGATAGTGTATAGAAATAAGTATGATTTATTATGCAATAAAATATTTCAAAGTTAACAACAAACCCTAATATTAATGTATTAACTTCAGATATAAGTCGGATATAATAGTTGGTATACTAATATAGAGGTAATAGTTTTAGTTTYGACTTTGAAATAATTAAATATACACAATGCTAGTTATTTGCCTATTTATTGAGCACTTTACTGAGTGATGGAGCAGACAGTTTAACACCATTCGGTATGTTTCTAGCAATATCCTGTACATTGACAYTCTTCATCAAGTTTTTTTCTCTGGTTGTTGATGTTTTGTCTTTTAAAAATAAATTCAAACAYGTCTTTGATGCTTTACCTCTTTTTGTGTTTCCAGGTGTTAATTTTAACTTGTATCTAAATAAAATAATACAGCTTTAGTTTAATTTCAAAACAGTTATTTTAAAATTAATTACTTATAATTTGTGAGAGCAGTATATGGTGCTACTACTGGAACAGCAAAAAGTAATTCATCTTCAGGGTATGGTATACCAGTTAATGAATCTAACATTTGGGTTTCAGTCAGATCTGTTGGTTTATCTGTTTCATCATCTTCTGAGTTTTCATTATCCTCAGATTTTTTTATTGGTTCCTTTTGGACTTCAAATTGAATTGTATCATTTGGAGCTTCAAGAAGCATAGGCAAAGGTTTAATGAATATTTGTTTATTTCCAGTAGCCTTATTCTTCTCAGTAGACTTTTTATTCTTTTTGTCTTTCTTTTTTGCTCGTTTCAGTTTTTTGTCTTCGTTCATTGATGACTAGAATAAAATAAATGTCAAATGTTATTATGTTATAGGTTATTAATAATAATACTATAGCTAGTTAGATGTGTAATTTTGAAGTTAGCAGAATATACAATTTGAAGGCTAACCGATAACAATATTCAATTGAACTAAAATCATACATGTACATAATATTTATCTACAATTTGGCTTAATTAGTTGTTTTATTTATAATTTAAAATATGACTAGTGACTAGTTTRAATTTCATGTGAAATATATTAATTGTCAAATGCAGTTAAAGTAGTAAAATATAAATCAGTTATTTTTATGTTGGACAATGCAAACACACAAAATTGTTTTAATAATCCATTAAAATGGAATTTAAAAAAAATGAATTTAAAGCCATATAAATTTGAATGAAAGAATAATTTCAAAATTTGATAACATTGGGTATTACATGTAAAATAGTAATATATCATTATTCATTTAATAATTTTGGTATTTTTATAAGTATTATTCTTAGATATTTATAAGTGTACAACATACCAAAAACAATTTTACGAGGGATAGAACCCACTCAGGATGTAGTGATAACTAAGAAACAAAATTTACTATAAAAAGGAGAACATTTACTGTGCAAAATCGTTTTTATGTGTTTGATATCACAAATACTAAAAAAGTTATTCAAGTTTGAAATAATGGATTTTTTAACATACATTTTTTTTTGTACTTTTGATATCGAAAAAATAAAAATTATTTTGCAAAACAAATGTTTTCCTTTTTACAGTGTGAAAATGTTGTTTCTTAGTTATTACTACAGCCTGAGTGGTTCTATCTCACCTAAAATAGTTTTAGGTATGTTGWATATTTATAAGACGGAGACAACACATGTGGGTATAACGTCCTCTTAAGTAAAATATACAATCTGCCGACTGGGTCCACTGGAAAAATCTCGTAGTACTGATGGGCGCATGTAAAATTAACATTGGGGTCAACAACAGGAAAAATTAATTTTAAACTTTTTATGTAAATCTTAAATTTTTTTATATTTAAAACATAAAATATGTTAATAAAATTATAACTTGAAAATTCAATATAACATTCCACTAAGGTCATTCTTTTAAAAATTTAAATTACTAAAAATAAAGGCACAATTTTTTAAAATGTTTTATAAGTTATAACACAAAAGTGCTTCACTTAAGTTTGTTTGAGAATCAGGGTACTACTAATATAGTAACATTGGGATATATCGCTAGTGGTGAGGTGTTAAAACAATATTATTATTCTTTACTACCATGCTAGGTTGAGTGCTTTCACTAGACCAGCGTTTCCCAACCTTTTTCCCTCGCGGCACCCTAATCCCAACCCATATTTAACCGCGGCACACTTGTTACTGACTTATATAATATGTATACATATTTTTTTTAAACCAGRCTTTCATCATATTAAATATTAATACCGAATTAGTTGTATATCAGTATAATATTACTAACATTCAGTTTAAAATGGTAAGATAGGAAGAAATATTATTATAATTATCCTAAATATTTAATTCATTGAAATGTAAAAACAAGCTACATTACAATCACACTAATCACAGCAGATAACAAATGACTAACTGACTAACTGACTAATATTTTAAATTATTTAATAAGAAATAGTGAACAATATCCCCGATAAGAGAATTGTTAAAACTATTTTAACCAATTACCGAAATTTTACATAAACGTTTATTAATAGTCGTGAAATTTCGCGGCACACCAATATGGGCATCGCGGCACACCGGTTGGGAAACCCTGCACTAGACCATATGAGCCATATACTGAATGATTTAGTTATTGTTATGCTTTAATTTCCCGGCATATCAATTTACACCAATAAGATTTTTTAATTCAAAAATTACTAATAACAATAAATATAAATTATGGTATATAGTGTTTAAGTCAAAAATTGTTTAGCCTAACTAATTTGTTTTACTTGAACTCATTGTAAAACAAGAATTGTTTATGTTTTCTAAATTTATGGTCAAGGTTAAGATCTTTTTAAATGCAGTTGGAGGTTAATAAACAAAAATAAATAAGTATATGACTTTAAAAACAGTTATACAGCACTTCTCTATTAGTTAACCTAAATCCTTCAACCTTGGATTGACATTTATTCATAACTTAGGTGGGTATAWTTATTATWYTCATATTTTATAATATTTATTACATGTAGTAATTTAATTCTCATTTCTCTTTCATCTTCATCTTGATCTTTATACTTTTCTTTGATTCTTTTTAATTTTCCACGTTGGCCTCGTTTCAGGATTTGAGGTTTACTAGATTCATTTTTTTTATCTGAAAATTAATTAATGATAAATTTTTAAAATAAATTAACGGAAAATGATATTTTATTAAGTTTATAATTATACAGAATTATAATAATGAAAATTGTTTAAACCAACAGAATTAATAATAGAATACCAGTTATCCACATTAATTAAAACTGAGAAAAGAACTCATAATTTATTAAAAATATACAATGAATATGAAATTAAATGTTGTTATTAAAAATAAAACTAATGCAAGTATGTATAAATGTATATTACAATAAAAAATAATATTGTATAAGATGGGCAATTTTTTTAAATATAAAATATACCTACAAGTATATTATATATTTTWCATATTATACAGGGTGTCCTGTGAGGATTTACCCATTGCAATATCTCCCGAAATAATGGTGATATCAAAATTCTAGTCTTGTAATAAGACTCACAGGGATAAGAACTACAATAATTATATCATATTTTAATTGATGTTAATGTTTTGGTGAAAAAGTTAAAAAATATATTTTTTTATTTAATTATTTCCAAAAAAATTAAAGATAGCCATAGAGTTTATGTATAGAGTTTATTTTTATGAAGATATTGAMGTTTCAAAATTTTATTTTCATTAATTTCCTGATTTTCAATATTTTTTTTAGTTTCGAGAAAAATTGCGAATTATTTAACACCGTAATGTTATCAAACATGTGAACCGCCGCGCCGCGCTCATTCCCATACGGCCGGCCGAATACCTTCCATGTTCCTAATAGTTATAAATTATAATCATATTTTATTTCTTCAAAACTAGAAAAAATATTGAAAATCAGGAAATTAATGAAAATAAAATTTTAAAACGTCAATATTTTCAGGAAAATAAACCCTACAAAATGGCTTTCTTTAATATTTTTGGAAATAATTAAATAAAAAAAATTTTTTTATATTTTTTAYAAAAACATTAAAATAAATTAAAAACTGAAATAATTGTAGTATTTATCCCTCTGAATCTTAATATAAAACCAAAATTTTAATATCTCCATTATTGCGTGAGATATCACAATGGGTAAATCCTCGCGGTATACCCTGTATAAGTTTATTTAAAATAATTATAATATTTTTCTCTGGTAAATCAAATGTGAGCTATAGCAGATAATAAAATAATATCRAACTTCACAAGACAAAACTGAAATTCATACTTTATCTTAATTGGCGGATGATAAACAAGTTGATGATCACTATAATTGATGAAGTAGATAGTTTTTWAAAAATATTTTTCAGTAAGTCTTACTTGAATCATTGACATCATCCAGTTCGATATCACCATCATCACTATCTGAAGATACAGCATCAGATTGTTTGACAAATTTACATGTATCTTTACAATTTGGAATACTTATTACATCTGTAACACTAATAAATAAAAACCATGAATTTAATAAATAAGTTTAAACATTTTTAAAATATGATAAATAGATAAGCAAGCCATATGTATAACATGAAAAGTATGGTAGATAAAAGAAAATATTAAGTCTGAAGATAAATTATACATTTAGGACTAAGAAAATAATAATCTAAAATAACTGAATGGTTAGGATAAGTTGCATATAATGAAAATCATTTAAGTTTTTTTGTAAACTTTTTATACTTTTAAAAGCTTTAAACTTTGAAAATGGTGAGCAAGTAGGTACAGATCGTATGCCATGATTGCAAACAACATGATGCAAAATAAATAATTAATACAAATTTGTAATTTTACAACAAACAATTATGATAACATTCCTTGAACAAAAAATATGTTAAAAATATTTACTTGTCTTGTATCAATTTTATTATTAATATATTGTTATTATTACTATAATAAGAAAAATAATATTTTTATTTATTTGATTTTTTCAAATATAAATTCTTTCAATAGCCATAAATTTCGATATTTCAAATCTACCAGGTGTTATTAGGTTCAAATTAATAATACAAGTGACTAACACTAAGTATCTGTAGTCTATAGATATGCTTCAAGGGATATATTTACGCAAAATTTATTTTTTGTTTTGATCCATGCTCAATACGGAAATGTGTAAGTATGTTGAAAAAACTGTTTTAAAAATTGAATACTCTATGTACTTATAAAAATTATATAGAACTCAYCATAAAAGATTATGCTCTTCATATTCAATTTAATATTAAGTATATTTACTCTAGTTATAAGTCTAAAAACACAAGATTGATTTTTTGGACACAAATTTGGTATATTACGCATGGGCCAGGGATAGAAATAGTGTACTGACAATGTGTTAGAATTAGGGTTTATTGTTAAGTTTTAAATAATTATATCATTACTTTTTTAATGTTTCATTATTAATTTCTAATTTTTCTTCTTCTTGTACTTTTTCTTCATCAACATCTTCTTCTTCTTCTTCTTCTTCTTCATCTTTTGAATGCTTATTATTTGTTTCAATTTTTAGTCCTTCACCATCATCATTGACTGTATAAAGAGTTTCTTTGTTTGGCAATTCAATATTTTTCTCCAGATCTAAATAAMAATGAAATTAGATATTTTTAAAAATTTAATCAAATCATAATATGATAAATAATTAAATAATATATTTTATTACTATAAATGTTTTAATAGGTTACCTTCATCGCTATCATTTTCACTTGGTATATTTTCAAATTCATCATTACTTTGTTCAATGTTTTCTAAGCCTTCATATTCAATACCCTTAACTTTACGTTCATTTGCATGTCTAAACACAATTTTAATTGTAATTTTATTTTTGTCTTATAAATATTTTGTTTAAATTTACCTAAATATTGAACTATCTTCTAGTTTAAACAGAAAGCTTAAACCTAATATAAGATGAGTTGCTGGTAAATAGTTTTTTTTACCACGTATCATAAAGCTACCAGTAGTCAAATATTCTCCAGTAGGTGCAGTTTTAGACACTTGTTCAGGTTTCACCCAAAATGCATTTTGTAAATTAATTTTCATTGTCCACGAAACACTGAAATTAAAATTAAATTGATTTAATTTCAATACAAACTAAATTGAAAATGCATTGATTTTTTAATTTGAATACACTATTTTAAGTTTCTATTCATAAGTTTAGAACACTTTATAATCCCGTTGGGTCTATCTATCTATTAACTACAAATACATAGTTACAATTGTTGATATTAAGATATKTATTAATTTACTATTATTTATAGAAARWTTTCTTAATTAGGATTGTTGATATTACAATAATAACTTGTATAAGTATTTAATATAGAATCATACAAACCCAAAATAAAATATTACCTATATATTAATGTTAACAATTTAAAAATAAAAATGGTATTTAGAAATAGTTTATCACCTTTTATTAAAGTACTTTTGGAAACCAATTATTTATTTATTTGGCACACTCTTAAAGTGACTTTTAGCAGAACTAAGACCAATAACTCCCCCCCCTCTCTTGTCTGTGTCTTTGGAAACAAGCAATATTAATGTAATAAACAACATTTTGACAACAATTTATAAAATTATATTTAAATTAAGTTCCTGAAATAAACATATTATARTTTAAAATAAAACTTTAGTGAAATACAAATAATTGATGATAACTGAGAAAATTGAATTGACATAAAGTCACTTATAGAAAAAGTTAAATGTCTGGACACCACAGTTAAGGCTATTGAAAGCAGACCATTTTTAAGGGGTTGGATTTAGGTAATATTCTATAATCAACAGAAGAGTGGCATGATTGTATGTGTAGTGATGGATCTTTAATGCTCCTTAAACACTTAATATATAAACTATGGCTAAGATTTTTGGTAACATAGAAGCGAATTACGGCCCCCCGCTTAGCCCCCCAAAATCTACAAATTTAAAATGCTATATTATAAATGTGTACTTTTTTTTATATATATACTTAAATAATATTGTATATTATGAGACGGTCATGTTAATTATAAAATAAAAATTATCACTGATATTGTAGAAATAAATGTATAATTTTGATCCTAAATTATTAGGAATTATTATTATATTGTCTTATTATTGCTATTACGTCATGATTGTGATGGTATATTATACTAAATTTATATTTAGGTACCTACTGCATAATAAATAATAATATGAGATACTCTTTACTAAACACACGATGCCAGTAATAGACGATAAGCCCTCATAATATTTGACATGACTGTGACCATTTACTGCGCTTATCTGATGTGTAATGGTGGATGAAGCAAGGTAAACATTTAACTTAGTGATAGATTATATACCTGATAAAAAACAAATATGTTTATATTTATATACTTTCTAGATTTTTCAATAAAGAGCAGCTTTCTTTATTTAACATTTTACTTTTATTTTGAGCATTTGATATACCTCATAAAGTTTTCATGATTATTTTTATTTTTGGTATTTATTATTCAATTAGTAATATAAGAAAACATGAATTATTTCTTGCATTTAAAAAACAAAAAAATATGTTATTAATGAATCAATGGAATATTCAACACGTTGTATTAATCCGCTTTTTCTGTGTGTCCGAATATTCCATTGATTCATCAAAAACAAAAAAATATGTTATATATAATGGTAACGGCTAACTAACAAGTAACAATTATAAAATCACCTTATTAGATAACTATTAGTGGCTTCTCTGCTTAGCCAACAAAAATAATTTAATATACTAATTTTATGTCACAATATTTATAAAATTGTAGATTTTAGTCATTTTGAAAAAATATTTATCTACCTGTATGAAATTGCCATAACAGCTGCTTCATTGAGTGTAGCAGGAGGGACAGGTTGATTTGTTGGATTTTTAATTATAACAGTGGTTGCGCCACTAAATCCAGCATGCACATAAATATCTGATGGCTTCATATACCGTTTAACAATAACTTCATTTTGATGAGCGTCACGCCCAGCAATAACTAAAAATAAAAAATATTGCTAAATAAGTATTGTAAATAAAACAATAGTAAAAAATATTTTTTTAGTGAAATAGTAAATCATCATTAAAAAGATAMATTCACAAATCATTAGATTAGGTTAAGTTAACAGGTAAATATCGAAGAAAATGTAAACAAAACACWAAATTATACCTCAAAACATGTATTTTATTTTAAAATTAAAATTAATAATGTATAAAATTTGATTTAGATCAGGCTGTTTTTTTTAACAGATAGGAAAAATTATTTTTTTTTGTAAATTTGTTATTATTATTAAATCTAGAAAATATATTTATTAATTATATTTATACATAGCAAGGTAAATGTTAGTTATATTAAAAAAATAAGTTAAATGAAACTACATTATTCGATGAATTGAATGAGAGGAAACAACCAACTAATTATCAGTTTAGTACCATCTGACGCTGTGCCGCGGAAACCTATACCTGTGTAATTGACACGGGTAGAAAGTTTATGTCGGCAGTTGTGAAGAAATATAGAGATTGGTCAATAAAACTATGATACTTCATGAATAAAAATTGAAATCTGGAGTCTATAAGTAATTTTATAAATTGAATGTGTCCAAAACTAAAAGAAGTAAATTAAGAAAAAAAAGTGATGACTTCCTATACTTGGTACTATTTAMACAACATTTATTATCAAACGGTAATGATTGATATTATTATGGTGTGAAAAAAAAACAAATATTCTACTTAATATTTTTAGGTAAACTATTAGTTTTGGCMAGCGATATAGTTTTTAGTTATCAATATTTACATTAATTTGCAAAACACCATAAAAAAATAAAATAAAAATTAGGTACATAGTAAATGTGGGTATGTATTATATATCTTAGTTAATATATATTATAATGAAATTGAAATCATGAATATGTATTATTTTTTAAAATTATTCTTAAAATAGATTAAATTATTTAAATTTCAATTCATTTTTTAAGTTCTTACTTATAAGCACTTGTATTATTATTTAATTTCTTTTAATGGCTATTGTAACTTATTTTAAATCATCCGTTCACTATATTTTCGAATTCCTGATTGATAACCCGATATTGCAAATTTAATTTTTGGACAATGATGTCCAAAATAATAAAARAATATCCACGATATTGCTGGGAAACACTATTAAGTAGTATATGCTTTTGAATTATAGGCAATTTTATTGAACAACCAAATYGCTAGTGTAGGGATGGCCTAGCTAAGCTTGAAAAAAAATGTTACCCAAATAATTTTCAGAAGATATAAACCAATAAAACTTTTCGAACCAATATGTTTTGCGAACTTTATTTATAGAAGCTACAACTTGCATATCTTTCAAAGTTTGTTTAGTTTTTTTTTCAGCCATTTTTAAAACTGTATTTGAGGAGTCAATGGTTTTTTTCTCTTTGATAGCTGATTGTTTTTTAGATCCATAGTATCTATAAAATAAAACAATAAATATGAATTCATATTTAATATTAAATAAAAAAGTTATTCTCTTTTTACCTTTGAGCATTTCCAAAAGCTGACTGACTTAAATCTATATCAATTAATTGACTGTTTTCTTCATTTTGGTTTTCTTCGTTATAAGGATCACTTAATAATAATAATAACAATATCAACAATTATCATAATAAAATAATACTAATAATTTATGTAAATTATTTTAGAAAAACTTACAACAGTTGAAGTGTAATGTGATTCACACTCAATTTCAAATTCTTAACTATAGCATATGTACATCCATCATCTTCAAAATTTAATTGTCTTATCATATCCCAAATTTCATCCCAATGCAGTTGTTTAGCTACTGCTTGCCTAACAAACTGTATAGTGTTGTCAACAAGATCCAAATTATTAGTAATTAATTCAGCTTTTAATCTGTGCTCATCTTGGGAATCTTGAAGTTTTTTAAGTCGTTCTTCATGATCTTTAACAATATTTTGTAGCTTTTTGACTGCTCCTTTTTCCTTTGAAAAAAATTATTTTAATTGTTAATTAATTGTAATATTATTTTTAAATGTGAAGGAAAAATTTGCATATTGGTTTGATGTAAAACAGTTTTATAAAAACTAAAATAGAATAGAAAAAAATGATATTGAATAATCTCTTAAAATGAGATGTATTTGAAAAAGATATTAGTTAAAACATACATTTTTGTAAATACATCTTACTATTCTAACTATAAATTTTACTTTAAATTT